AGAGACCCCAGGAAGCTATGACAGGACAGTATTTTCTAATATTGCATAGAAATCAGAAATCAGTGCAGTACTCACTGAGCAGTAACCATCAAAAGCACTGTCTCAAAAGTGGCTTTCATTGTCTTCGTTCTCCCCTACACACAGCCACACCTTGTAAGAAAGCAGGCTTGTTTGTAATTCATTTGCTTGACCCAGATGGTGAAATCTAAACATAACTGCAATATCAGCCTAAATTACCCCATGCTGCTATGGGTGATTCAGATGTGCCATACAATGCACAGTTAACAAGAATTAAGCAATGCTCAGTTCACACAGTTCCAAAAGAAGTGAGCACAAGGGGCACAATTTGGATCTGGACTTGCAGAATGCTCATTAAAACCACCGAGGATTTTGCACAAGTAAAGACTGATATTGATCCTGCCATGTTCATGTTACTATGGCAAAACTATTGTCACTAATCATATCTAATGCTTTTCTAATCTACAGTATTTAATTACACTGACCCACATTGAAGGGATTTAATCAAAGCTTATCAGTTAATTTCCGTAAGACAGTTTCAACTTAAAAAAATGCAGTGTAAAATCAACTTAATAATATATTTTTTCTCAGTGTACTTAAAAACATCTGAAAAAATTTAATACATCCAGCAGCCATTTTTAAAACCTGGCATCTTTGTTACTAATGCTTTTTTTTTTTTTTGTCTCCCTTTCAAGTATCTTCAAAAGAAGATCTCTGTACTTCCTGGTCCTTTAATTTATTTCAATTTTGTGTTCAATAATGTTTTTTCCCTTCTTGCCTTTGTTACACGAAAACGCAGACTCAATTTGGAAAAATATAGTGGCTTAGGCCACTTTTAAAGAACAGAATAGGAAGCTTGAAACTTTTATCACTGAACATAATTCATGAATATGTCATTAAGTATAATCCATTATTCCTGGAAAGGGAAAATTATTTTATTAAATTACTGGTGAAACTGGTAAGTCAAATGTTAAAGGACAATATGCTTGGAAGCTAAATTGAATATCACTTTTACTATGCATAAGAATGGATATAAAGAAAATCACTTCGCTATCAAGTATAGCAATTGGTCAAGCTCTCTAAGCTGTAATATAATCATATGTGGTCTTGAAACTTGGATGTCAACTTTCAGGAAACATCCTTATGGATTCTCTAAATTAGCAGTGCCAGCAAAAGTTTTCCTGGCCATCTCTTGGGAGACTTCATAGATAAATGAGTCCCATTTTCCAAATTCTAAAAACCAGGATAAATATTATACATAGGCTATACAGACATTGTCTAGAATCTTAAAAGATAGAGTATGACTCAGATGAACTCAATCATTAGCATGAACTCTACGTTCAGCCAGCATAACACTCCATGGGGGAGCCCGTTCTTCTTTACCTCCATAGTGTACAATTAAGTTCACCATCAGAGACATCCAATTACACCCTCCGTTTCTGCTGTCAAGGGTTTTATAGCATAATATAAAGGAAATAACAATAGGAAAACTCATAGGTACACAGGTCAGGGATGGGCAAAGTCCAAGAATGAAGTAGCATATGTATTTGAGTCTGTGCCCTAGTAACCAGACCAAATGCAATATTAGACAAAAATATCTTCCCACTTGAAAAACAGACTGAAACCTCGCCTGCTGCTGATGCTTCAAATGGCACAGGACGCGGGGTAGATAACGAAGACTTTTTCCAGTGCCAGCGTAACATGAGTCGGAGCGTTGGAGATGCTCCACTGTCCTAAAATGATTAAATGGAGTGTGGTTACTATTCTGCAGCTATGGTTTTGTAAGTGGTAGTTTTGAGTTTAGAAATACATAATTCACAGTTTGTAGCTTTGTTGTTTTGTTTTAGTAAGTTCAAGATTTAATTAGCCACCTTAAATAAAAAATATAGCTCTACCATGGGTTTATGAGCTATTACTCTTCACACACACACACACACACACACACACACACACACACACACACACATTTATGTGTCTTAAATGAACTCATGTTCATAAATGATGAGTAAACCTAAAAGATGGTGGGTTGTTAAAAATATCGCCATGAAAATAAAACAAATATATTTAATATATATTTAAATATATAATATATTTAAAGTATTT